AGGGCAAGGGATACAACCAGGATGAGTAAGCAGAAGTTAAGGAGGTGAGTTCTGGCTTAAAATATGGAGATTTCAGAAGGGGTGGCTGTCAAGTTGAGCAGATGCCTTGAAGAGTAGCAGATCCTTTGTTCCCATATGTATGCAAACACAGTCTATGCAGTCATTTGGCAGGACACTGGAAAACCAACTAAGGCATTATTTATGCACCCTGTTCAACAATACTATTGAGCACCTACCAAATACATGCTCCATGCTGTGGAACAGGGACACCAAGGTAAGTGAGACATACGAGATCTGTGTGCTCATGTAATTTATAAAACAGTAATGAATGCAGACTATAAAGAGATCATTAAATCAACATAATTAAACAAGGCAATTGCTAATTATGATCATTTATCTGATGTAAATAAATAATACGGGGGCAGAGAGGATGACTGGCTGCAGGGTTGTTCAAAGCAGATGACATTGGAGCTAAGCCCTGACAGATGAGGGCTGGGAGAAAAGAGCCCAAGTTTCTGAAGCTACTGGAGCGCTGAGTCAGCAAAGGGCTCAGCCGGGCAGAGGGAGAAAGACAAAGGCGGAGGCGTCGAGAGAAGAGAGGTGAGGCTATGGAGGCAGGACACAGCTTGGTGGGCTCCAGAGGGTTTTTGGTAAAGGCAATGAGATCTCATGGAAAAGTTTTAAAAAAGGGGAGTGATGTAATCAGGTCTATAGTTTTTAAAAAAGGGGTTATATGTGATGATCTTTGCATTGATTTCTAAAGCTGAGATTCTGACTCTAAAACAGGTATGTACCACATCTTTTGCTATTTGTTCTATTTAACAATAGCTGGGGGGAGGGGGGAGACCTGGTCTTGTGATTTCTCCTGAATTGGCCACGCTCATTCCTGCCTCTTTCCCATAGATATATCTGTCCTGCTCTGAGCTGGTCCTCTGGGCCTGCTAACCTTGCCCCCACCCCTATAGTACTCTTTCTAAAGCTTCTATCTGGTCAGCATTTTCATCACTAAAAACTGATTGGGCTCTTTCTCCTGGTTCCAACTCATTACTTTGCCTCATAATGGAGGGCCTGTCTCCTTTCTGTCACAATGGACTATCTTTTTGTACCAACACTTTGGCCTGGACTCAAGACCATTTTCTCTTACAATCCATGAGAACTACAGTCTACTTGAGAACAGGGATTATATCTGGTCCTCTATTATACCTCTGTATTCACCACAGTTTTGGCACCTCTGATCTTTAAGTCTTTAAAAACCACTGCTGAATGAACGAATACTTTGACCTTGGGCAGCTTTATGGACATGAGATCCTCCAGGACTCTGGCTCTGCTCTCTGCACTCAATCCTGTCATTCTCCTTCCAACTTCTACATTGGGAAACACAGTGACTCTCTGCCAGTTATATTCTCCCAACTAATTGAACCAAAGCCCGGACTGAGCTTTTTTTTTTTTTTTTTCTTAATCAGTTAAGGCACAAGCTTGGGATTTTTTTCCTGAATTGTGGCTTAGTCTTAATTGAGATAACCCAGAAAAAACAAATGGTGCTTTGCATCATTTCTAGGATAGTAATAACTGCTCACATTCATTGTGTACTATTGTTTGCCAGATATAAAATGTTAAGTGCTTTCCAGGCATTGTCTCCTTTAATCTTTACTGCAAATCTATGTGGAAAACATTATTGTCCCCATTTTACAGAGGTGGAAATTGAGACTTAGGGATGCCAATTTGCCTAGGATCACACAGTTAAAAAGTACAGTTGAGATTTTCAAGATTCCTCTGAATGTAAAACTTGTGCTCTTAACAACTAGAAGAAAATTGCATAAAATAAAATTCATAATAATACATCACATACTGAAAATTAGCACAAAGAAATGCATAGATTAAGTGATGATGGTACTGAAAAATGGATGTTATTATGGAACTCTCTGTTGTATAGCTGGATAGAATTTAATTTTTCTGTCATACATTTTTCCTCTTCACCTCCAAAAACATCTTGTGTATTCCCAGTATTTTTACTAGCATATCAGAGCATATTCAAAGTGGGGTTTTTTTGGTAATTCTGAAACATATTATTTTAACAGAAGAGCCCAGAAAAACTGGGGAAGCATAAAAAATAATCCATATCTTATTAGATTTTAAAGGCCTCAAATAAAAAATATGAAAAGAACCTATATATTCTTATAGTCAACTGATACATATAAGAGATCAAAACCATTTCCCATTTTTAAATCTGCTCTACTTATAGAAGTTCTCAGGAACCAAAACCAACTCTTCTTTCATTCTCTTAGTGACAGTTCTAAAGTGACCAAAAGAAAGATTTTCTAATTTTTAACTGAACATTAAAGCCCACCATTGAATATTTTCTGATTTAAAAAGAGACTGCCTTTAAAAATGTTCGATGCTCCTGATGTTATCTGAAATACATATAAAATACAAATGCACCTGTCTGCCTAGAAAACAACAGAATTACCACCCAGCGTCCTAGCCTGGTTTAAGACAAAACTCCAGCTGGAAATATTCTTGAAGAATAAAACTTTTCTTCAGTAAAATACTTATCTAAAGGAATCCTGTTCTAAAGTGTATAATCATTGTCATGAGTAGATTGTGAAATAGTAGGTGATTCATTTAAGATACATCTAGAATCAGAGAAAGTACTAGCAAATTACAAATAAAAATGAAGAGAATAAATGGTAAATGTTTTACCAGCCCATCCTAACTAGGAAAAATAATTTCCTAACTTGGAAAAATATGAACTCAATTAAGAATTCAACTTTCAGAGGAGGTTACAAATCTATGAACTTGAGAATAATTTGGGGGTACCAGGTCAGTGATTTTAAACTATCTGTATTGATATCTTGGGCATTTATTATGTTTATCTTACCAACTTTTTTGGTGAGAATCTTTTAGGGCTCACCAAAACCTGGGCATGGGTAATACTTTGAAAACTCTTAACTTTGTATCTTTGGACAAGTCACCTAAAGTTTCCAAGTCTCTCGGTGGCTTCATTTGTAGTCTAGGGGGTAATAATATTCCCCCTTCTCCTCACAGAAGCCCTGTGGAGAGGAGAGGCATGGGCTTTGAAGCAGTACAAGCCAGGTGCAGATTTCCCTCTGCACCTGGGCCCACACATGTGAGGCCTTGGGGAAGTTCCTTATCTGCCTGAACCTCTGTTTCCTCATCTGTATACTTAGAATATCACACCTAGTAAGACACTGTTAGGATTAGAGAACATTTACTTAAACACTGGGCACTTATTAAGCTTTCAAAAAATGGTAGCTACCAATGCTTGTGAACAAACACATTTTGCAAACTGCATAATATGTAAAGTATTATTCTATGACTTGACTGTTTCTTCAGATATCATGTAGTTTCTTATTGACATGACTAAATCATAACGTTACTCCATTAGTCTGTATATATGTATATACTTTCTTTTGCACATTGGAGACTTGTTGTGAGAATTTTCTGGTGAAATTTGTCATGAGACTATGACATTAGCCAGCCTCTCAACACTGACCTCTCTGATTTTTTTCTCCTCTGCTGCATTCCAGTCTGTATTCTGCAGTAATTTTTCAGTCCATTCATTCTTTTATTTACTCCTTCAACAAACACCTATGGAAGCCTTACTATGTGACAAGATCTATGCTAGAAAGTTGTATTGCAGGAGGAATTACCCTATATATTTTATCACAGATGGTTTCATTAAATATTATGTTATGATGATGTTATCATAGTAATGTACAAAACAGAAAATATTATAGTTTATGTAAATTGTAATGGGAATTAAGAATAACTTTTGGCAATATGTTACATATTCTCTAGAAAATAATTACATTCAACCTCTTTTTCCCAAGGGTTACTATATAAATTAAATAAATCCTATGAGGATTATCCAAGGAAAGGTATTTAAAAATAGAAACAACTTTAAAAATGATCATATTTGTGACTCAACATTGAGTTATCTCTCAGAGTACATTCTTAAAGGCTTTAAATCTAGAATAATTTCTGAAATTGGCAACAATTGGAGACAAGAAATTGTTCTTCTGTTTTTACTCTATTTCCCTTAATAATCATAAGCCATCATCTATTTCTACTAATGGTAAAAACAAGTAAAAAAAAACAAAACAAAAACAAAAAAAACAACAAAAAAGTGAATTTCACAACACCTGTATGTATATATATATCTATGATGTTCTAAAGCATTTCCTTTAATCATTATAAACATATTCCATTTCCTATTATCATTACAAACATAATCCATTTTAATAGCAATTGAGTGCCTCCAATGTGCAGTAATTACAAACTGAATGATGAAAATATAAGATAAGTATAGCAAGGATCAGCAAACTACTGCTTTTGGGCCAAATCTGGCCCACCACCTATTTTTATAAAGTTTTATTGTAACACAACCACCTGGTCCATTTGTTTATATAAAATCTAGGGCTGCTTTCGTGGTACACTGGCAGAGTTAAGTAATCGTGATAGAGATGGTATGGCCTATAAAGCTTAAAATATTTTCTAACTATTTGTTCACAGAAAAGGTTGGCAAACACCTGCTTTAAAGTAAAGGTATTATAGAATTTCCATACCAATTTTGAGTATCAACACAAAAATTAAGAAGGAACTAAGAGAGAAAGAGTTTGCTGTATATTTATCTCCTTTTTGGCTCATGCCCAAAGCTTAGTGGACACACTAGGTAGGATAAAAGCTACACGTCTGAGAAGACAAATTCTCTAAAATGGTCCTTGCTGGGCTAATGGGCCACTGTTGCTCCCGCCTGAGATAACAAAAATTCCAAGTTTTGTCCTCCCAAGCCACCAAGGAAATGCCCACCGGAGCTATATAACTGTCCTTTTTTTTAAGGAGCTAGGGAATTCAGTTTGTGTCTAATTTTTGCTGTTCTTAGAAATATTATGACCTTCTATATGTCTATAAACCTCACAGATTGTTTAGTAGAAAATGACCATTATAATTAAAACGGAAAAAAGAAGCCAACGAGTTACCTGTGTGTTGTTCTTCAATCCAGACTTGCAAATACATGAAGAGGAGTAGCCCTGCTACTCCAAATATCAGCACCGAGAGGAAGACTTGTTTGGGATTCATGACCATTTCAGATGGCTGCATTTCTCTTCATTTCTGAACAACACATGATCAGTTTTCCACAGAGCTTCAATCCTTACTCGTTTTCTTAAGTGCTCGTCCCATCAAATACCCTGGAATTTTTAAAAAATCCACATTTTACCTCGGTGACAACATCTCTTCCCAGATATGCCATGTATCAATACTGAAGGCTAATATGAACTGTTAGCACTCTGAAGGCAGAAGAAACCAGGAGATGTCTCCAGAGTGGCAATTTTCTATTGCATACTTTTATCTTATCTAAGGAATGTATTATCGTACAGTTAATAAGTAACACACTAACATTTAATTAGGTGAAGTATGGCCAGATTTAAGCCCTCTCATATTGTGGAGAGTACAGCAGGGTTCAGGTTACCTTACGATGACTGTGAGGTAAAAGACGACTAACAGAATGAATTGCCGAAGAAGGCATTTTGAAAGACATGTTCATGGACTACAGGGGAACATTACTTCATGTCTTACAAATATATAAAGTTAAAAATGGAGGGTTCACTCTATCATTATCATCTCATGTGAAAGTAATAGATTCCTTCAGCTTACAGGGTACATTTAAAATCTCTAAAAGGCATAAAAGGATACACATGAAAAGGTCAGAGTTCAAGGATGTCTCTTATAACATGGGAATACAGAATCTGCCTCAAGAATAAAAGCTCGCTTTATTTAAAGAAATACTGAAATGACTTTGTTTCAGAACAATTTCATTTAGTGTAATCTTAACGTTTTTTTTAAAGTCATACCCACTTTTGAGAATCTAATGAAAATGTAAAAGTCTCCTTAGAAAAATATAAACACACACAAATCTTGCATAAGATATCAGTTTGTTTATGAACCCTCACTGAAACCTGAGTTAAGAACCCCCATGAACTGCCAAGAAACATGAGCTCACTAGTTAGCCTGGTTTATGAGGCCAAGGTCATGGCTTTGTACCTAATGCTAGCCAAAGACCTTGGCTCAGCTACTTGGCCACAGCCCACACCCCATCTTTGGATGAGACGAATAAACATTTCCTCAATGTGAAGACACAACACACACGGCTGTGCCTAAAAATTCTCTCTCTCTCTCTCTTCCCCACCTCCTCCATATATGACTCAAAAACTTCTGGGAGAATATTGATTTCGGTTTTTAAAGAGGCATTGGTGAGGTGTCAGGTAAAAGTTAAAAACTGCTGTGGGAAATTGCTAGGCTGGTTAAAGGATAATGTTTAGCCATTCTTGGCAAAACCAATTTTCACACAAACATTGGCCTTCAAAGATAACCTATGAGAAGTAGAAGTGAATGTAGTAGAGCAATCTCTTGATTAGAAAAAATAAATTCACCAAACAGTTAAAAGTGCTAATATAGAAAAACAACAAAAAACTCACATTATAAATACATTGTTTTCTTTATATTTTAACTATTACACTGGAAGGGCCCAGAGTAGGAACAGTGGTTGTCAGCATCACCTGAGGAGCTTTCTCAATTCCACTCCCCTGAGTTCCCGGAGGAAGGGGCAATGGTTACCATTTTCACCAGTGCTTCTGTGGATTTCAAGCATTTCTTGATTTTGGTAGCAGAGAAAGTTCATAAATAAGTAGAAGAAAAATATGGCTTGTTGGATAGGAGACACTTTGCTCTTATAATGACTTGAAACTAAAATATCATGGGCTTTCCAAGCACACACAACGAAAACAAGTTCCTGAGGGAGATTTGCAATTTGAGGTGTCCCAAGATGAATCCCTCATGGAAAACTACGCAGAGAAGCCAGCTTTCTCTCCTCTTGATGCTACAGTTAGACGACGAACGGCTAATTCCTGGGTACACAGAAGATTCGGGTAAGAGGACACCTTAAACAAAATCCATTGCTGAGGAAAAAATAGTTGTTTACAAGAAGAAAGAGACTCTTACAATCCGTCTACATAATTAAAACTTACCACAGAAGAGAGTGGAAGAAAAAGCATAAATCAGAAGAGTCACGGACCTGTGGGAACGGTGGGTGTGAGAGCCAAAAGCAGGACTCTCTGGGGGTTTGCGGAGGAACATTATTACCTATGATGCTGGAAAAAGATTAAGAACTTGCCCTTCCTTTCTGCGGGAGATGTTGCTATCCTCTGACATATCCTCCTGGGTAAGAAGCCAGGAGAAAACGCATAATTGCTATTATGGCAGATGTGAATAGGATTGAGTGATTAAAGCCACAAGGCAGAAAGGCAATCTGGTGTAAAACGGAGAGATACGTTAGATTTTTCTCCCATCTCAGTCCATTAACCCAACGTTGGCATTAGGAGGGAAATGGCTCTTATTCAACAAAGGTGAGGCAGTTAGAGCAGCGGCACTGCTGTAAGCAAAGCTGAAGGTCAGTGGCGATGGGAAAACACACCTATTTGGAGATCATACATCTACCTTCAAGCCTGCGGAAAAAGTGCAGACTATTGGAGATTGAAATTACTTGGAATAATGCTATTTTATGTACAAGCATTATACTTACAACATTTCCACGGTTAAAGGCTTCTTGTGTTTTGTACAACCCGTTCCACTCCCCCCTCACAAATACCTTGAACCCAATGGGTACTCAGTGTGCTGAGTATTTTATTGGGACTTGGAGCTCCAATAAAAAAAATAAAGGTAATTAATTACTTTTCTAGTTGTACTCATACATTTTTAGTCCCAACCTCCAAATGAAGACATACAGACTATTAAAATACTGAGAGGGTCTGCATGACTTGGTTAAAAAATACATATTTATTGCTACTTGCGTATTCTATTGATTTATTCCTAAAAAATTACAAAAAGATATAAAAACAATTGTTTCACTGTTATCTCTTTCCCAACACTTTAACAATTATTATTTTTTAAGATGGGCAACATCACTAATCCTCAGGGAAATGCAAATCCAAACCACCATGAGATACCACCTCACGCCTGTCAAACTGGCTATTAGCAAAAAGACAAGAAATAACAAATGCTGGAGAGGGTGTGAGAAAAGGGAACCTTTGTGTGCTGTTTGTGAGAAGGTAAAATAGTGCAGCCGCTATGGAAAACAGTATGGAGGGTCCTCAAACAATGAGAAATAGAAACGCCATAGATCCATCAGTTCCACTTCTGGGAATATATCTGAAAGAAATGCAAACATTATGTTGAAGAGATATCTAAACCCCATGTTCATAGTAGCATTATTTATAGTAGCCAAGGCATGGAAATAACCTAAGTGTCCACTGAAGATAAGTGGATAAAGAAGTTGGGGTATATTAATATATAATGTACAATGTACAATGTGTAATGTGTAATATGTAATAGAATACTATTCAGCTATACAAAGGAGGAAATCCTGCCATTTGGGATAACATGGATGGATCTTGAAGGCATTATGCTAAATGAAATAAGTTAGAGAAAGACAAATACTGTATGATCTCACTCCTATCTAGATCTAAAACAACAGCAACAACAAAACTCATAGAAAAAGAGATCAGATTTGTGGTTACGAGCTGTTGGGAAGTTGAATGAAGGTGGTCAAAAGTGACAAACTTCCAGTTATAAGATAAATAAGTACTAGGGACACAACATACAACATCACGACTTACAGTTAACACTGCTGTGTGGCATATGTGACAGTTAAGAGTCTCATCACCAGGGAAGACTTTTTTTCCTCTTTTTCTGTCTCTTTTTGTATCTATGTGAGATGATGGATGTTAACTTATTGTGATAAGAACTTCACAATATATGTAAATTGAATCATTACTCTATACATCTTCAACTTATACGGGGCTGTACATCAATTACCTCTCAATAAAACCGGAAAAATTCTTTAAATAACCATAGTTACCTATACAAGCATTTTGGGACTTTAGAATAGTGATGTTACTCGATGGAGGCAATTTATTTAAGAAGAAATAATGAGTTGTCCAGTGTGACCAAAGTCTACGATTTAGGGAGAGAGTTATGGAATTTTAGGAAGGCCAGTTAGGACCAAATTATGCAATGTGGTGTAGAAGAACCCCAGAGTGAAGGGACAACTTACCCTTAACTTCTAGAAACGACAAGGAAGCAGAGCCTACCTGGAATCCACAAACAAGAATGAGGCCCTGCTGATACCTTGATTTTAGCCTGTGTCAGACCTCTGACTCATAGAAGTGTAAGATAATGCATTTGAGCTGTTTAAGCCACCACATTTGCTATCACTTGTTATGTCAGCAAAGAAAACTAATACAGTACAATACTATTACAAAGTAACATTTAAAAAAAGACAGTCTGTGATATTGCTATGAGTGGGTAAAAATAATGCTGATATTTCCAAATATTTTCCACATGGTTTCTTCATGTTCTATTCCTGTAATAGCTCAACCATTCAATGTATTTTCCCACATAGAAGATAAAAACATATTCCTTTATTAGACACTAATTTATAGGTGCTTCTTTATACATTTTGTGGCTTTGATTTCTTGTATAATTTATTTAACAGATATCTTCTACTTTGAGCTGTTGTATTTAAAATTTAATTGTAATTAAACATTTTAACAAGACAACTCTTTGTCCTTATAATCTCTGTTTTAGAAAAAAGTTTTAAATTCTTGCTTTATATTTTAGTGTTCAAGGTAGAGTCATTTTTTAAAGCAAAAACAGATCTTTTTTAAAAAATTTATCTTTATTGTAAAGACTGCATGAGACTAAAACCAAAGTCCATTTGCAAACATTTGTTTGTATTAGAGATAAGAAAAGCAACACCCATAGAGATTATTGTTAAATGGACTGCTCATCTCAACCCTCATTTTTACTTGCTTAACATTCTAACATTTTAAAGTGTTAAAAGATTTCAATGTGTTAAATTTGGATGATCCAAAAATACTGTTGTGTTTTACTTTTGTTTAAGCAGTCATAAAAATTCGTAACATGTATTTACATGCCAGTCAGGAATCATCAGGATTACATTAAGTAACACATAAATTCTACAGCATGGAATTTTGTTTTCTTAAAGGGACCTATGAAGATAAAGGGAGTCCTTGAAAAGTTTTTTGGAGTCCTGGGATTTGGCCATGGTGATGCAAGAAAATGGTAATTTGCATCGTCATGTCTAAAATGACTTGAAGGAGTTATCAGCATAGATTATGTCACATGAGGTAAGAGGGTTAACAAGAATAATGAAATAATCGAGTTTTAGTTGTTGTAGTAATTAATAATGTAACCTAGGAAATGCTGAATAAAATATGGTTTCCACTCTATAACTGGGATCAATTGTGATATAACCAATAGAAATTGGTAGGTTACTAGAAGGAAGAGGAATTGAAGGCTATTCAGGTGGATGCTGTGCTGAGTCCTTGATATCCATTCTGTTCCTCTGTGTGGAAGGCATGCAGCTTACAACAGACTGTCCCCACCTCCAGCTCCAATGAAGGGCCCCGAATCTCCGTTTCCACCTTCACATAGCCTTCTGCTCTGTGTGTTTTATAAGGATACTTGTCATTGGATTTAGGGCCCACTCAGATAATCCAGGATGAGTTTACACTGAGATCCTTAACTTAATTACATCAGCAGAGACCCAGAGCTCACAGGTTCCAGCTAGGATGTGGACATATCTTACTGGGGGTGGGCACCATTCAACCCATCCCACCAGGTTGTCCAGGCTTCCTCTGGCCACAGTGATTATTTCAAAGGTGAAAGAATCAGAACAAAGCTGAGAGCTTTGGTTTGATGGCCATGGGAAGTGATATTTTCTCTCCCAATGAATGTGAATAAGAAAGCATACAGTTCACGCTGCTGCTAGAAATCTCCTGGCTGCCCTGATGAAAACCAGCCTGAAAAACAAGGCAGCACAGTGAAGGCAAAGCTGAGAAACTTGCAAAGAAGGAGAAGAAAAGCTCCAACTGCATCCTGACTGCACTCACTCTGCCTCTGAATTTGTAATTTAGAAAAGCCAATAAATTTCCTTTATTTTTCAATCTATTACAAAGCAATTATAAGTATAGTAAGAGAGCTAAGGAAAGAGATATATTTGTGGTGTAGCAATTCTGGCAGGATAATCAGAAATAAATGGAAGTAATAATAACATTTATTGAGCAGTTATCACATTCTAGGCACTATTCTCAGCATTTGATATTGATTGTTTAATATAATTCCCACAATAACACTGCTATCTTCCCAGATAAACAATCTGCAGGACTGGCTCACATAACCACATAGTCTGAAGCAGAGTTTAGTGAAAGATGAGGTGAAAGGTACAGGTGGAGGAGACAGGCCACAGAGGGCCCTGGAGTCAACCTTCTATGATTGTATCTGTCTTGTGGACACTGGGAAATCAAAGACAGGTTTGAAGGGAGTGGAGTGATCAGGTTTGCATTTTGGGAAGATCACTCAGGCTGTAAAGACTGCACTGAAGGTAAGGAAGACCATAGGCATTCAGGAAGAGA